TGGGGACAGGCCTGGAAGGAGCTGAGGTCTGATAGGAAGCAGGTGTCAGAATTCCCTGCTGGGTCCTGTCCTGCCCCTGAGTCTGGAAGTTGTAGAGAATGGTATACCCTGGGCTGGGGTATTCCCAGAGCACCTCGAGGTAACGGGCCTTTGATGTTGCCTGCTTCTCTGTTGGGGTACCCGAGAACTGTTCACAGCATCAACTTTGGTGATCAAGAAGACTGGTATCTGAGGCCTCGCTCCCCTTTCTTTACTTCCTGAACCAGGACTGTTTGGTGTGGGGACCAGCATGTAGGGTAGGAGCTGAGGAAAGTGTTGCAGGCCTTGATCTCCACTACATCTGACAGATGTGGAGGGGTGCAACCAGCATAAGCCCAGGGCATCATCCTCCTGACTCTCCCATCCCTAGCCTGCTGTGTGGATCCAGGAAAGTCTCTTTATCAGCTCTGGGCCATTCCCCAGTCCAAGCTATAAGATAAAGGGACAGTAGGGAGGTTTGGGAGGGTCCTGTCCTAGGGTTTTGGACCCTGAGCAGTCTCTTGAGGTCCCTCTGCCCAGAGAGGAACTCTGAGACAGGTTTGGGCCCCCCTATCAGTGTGGGAATCTGTGATCCTCTCTCTTCACCGTCTCTCAGAGCTGTTGTCTCAGGTCCACCACTAGGCACCATCACTAGAAGAGAAGTCTGGGGGTGTCTGGCATTTTCCAGCCAGGACCACGTGCAAGGTGGCCCTGGGTCCTGGTAGCACATTGTGGACTCAGTGGACTTTGGTTTAGAGCCGATAAAAGTGAGGGGTAATGATCATGTATGTGCCTCTGGGCAAGGTCACCCCTCCCAGAACCCGACAACGACGATGTCCAGGCTACAGATGAGGAGCTGGGCTCATAAAGAGCAAGGACCGCTCCTGATCACAGAGCTGAAGGGGCCCAGCGAGGCCGGCTTTGCCTGCACAGGAGAGACAGTGAGGTCCTCTAACTGCCACATTTGTTGGGGATGGGGGTGAAGAAGGACCTGCGATCCCACCAGGGTGACTTTGGAGGTCTCCGGCCCCTCCCCCTCATACCTGTCCAGGCTGGTGAGGGCTCACACTTTTATCTCTTCCTATGGAAACACCTAAAGAGGGAAAGAGAGAAGAAAATGAAATACACCACCATTAGGATCAAAGGACTCCCGGTCACTGATCCAGCTGGAGGAAGCCCTGCTGATGGCCCTGTGGGGACAGCATAGTTGTTGCCAAGGAAACCCTTCAGAACAGTTTTGGCTTTTGCTGTCTGCCTTGGGGGTGGTCGCATCTGAAGGGCTTCAGTCTGTACCAGCCTGACCTTTTCTTCAGTCCTGACCTTACCGAATGTGGTCCCTCCTGAGTGACAGGGCACACTCCTGCCTGTCTCCGATCTACTTTGTGGCACCTCCTCCTTGGAGGTGTGAGAACCCTCACTGTCTCTCTCTCTCTCTCCGTCTCATTTCTCCCAGGCCTTCAACTATCTGTATAGTTGAGGATGACTTTGAAGTTCTGATTCTCCTGCCTCCACCTCCCAAGCGTTAGAGTTACAGGCTTGTCCCTGTGCCCAGTTTATGTGGTCCTGGGGGTCAAACCCTGGGCTTTGTGTGTATGAGGTGAGCACTCCATTGATTATGCCTCAGCCCCCCCCCCTTTTTTTTTCTTTTCTACCTGGGCATTTCCCAAGAGGCCTGAGACTCTGCTTTTACTGCCGTTTGAGGAAAAGTGCCTCAGCGTGAGACGCCTAATCACCTATTACTTGGGAACAGAAAGCGCTGTGTGAAGGGCAAGTCCAGTGTAATAATAGTGACGCCAATGGTTTTGTTTTGAACGGCTTGAACTTGTTAAGTCCAGCAGATGCCACGGCACTATTTAAAGCCTGTGCTGGCGATCTGTTTTATACAGAAACAACTTATTGTAGGAGAATTTCTGAATCCTTCGTAAAGTTCAGTTTTTCTCAGCTGAGCCTTCGCTGTTTCCCCTTAGGGGTAGGGTGTCTGCTTAAATAGGGAGGACAAGTGGGCCAGCAGACCTGGGGAGGTAGCACAGTGATAGAGCACTTGCCTAGGATGTGCGAGGCCACAGGTTCAATCCTTGCTAAGTTCCCACTCCATGCCAGCTTGAATCCTTGAGGTAACTTTGCTTTGATACCCGAGTTCCAAGAGGCTGTGCAACCCTCCCAAGGTCACACCGCGGTGGGAAGCCAGGCTTTCTGTCTAGGACCCCTGGCTCTCGGCTTCACTGTTATTTATTATAATCTAAATAATGTGTCCAGTTACTGGCTAGGCTGGGAGGTCAGCTGATGCCTCTGTCCCCCAGTGAGAGCCACTGTAATGACACTTGAGATCAGTCAGAGAATCGGCTGGAAAAGAACTTCCTAACCGATGGAACCTGACAGGCTGAAGAAATAAAAACGACTTTCTTTGTCCAGTGAATGGTGGTTGGTTTGTGTCACAGGGTCACTAGATGAAGTGGCTCCAAGCCATATGGCAGGAAATAACCAGCATTTCATTTACTTCCCCCCAGGCTTTGGAGCCTGTCCTGGAACTCTCTCTGTAGACCAGGCTGGTCTCAAACTCACAGAGATCCACCTGCCTCTGCCTCCTGAGTGCTGGGATTAAAGGCATGCCCACCACCGCCTGGCATGTCACATGACCTCTTGACAAGGACCCCCGTTATTGGATTTAGTGTTACCCCTAATCCAGCATGACCTCATCTTCCTTAATCTCAAAGACCCCACTCCCAAGTGGAGCACATTCCAAGCTTGTAGGAGGATGTGAGTTTGGGGCAATGCTACTTAGCGTACAGTGAGGATCCCTGGGCACATCCCCACGCTGGCAGGATTGGGCTCTGTGTATGAAGGCCATACTGCCCTGAGGACTCAGGACTCTGCTGGGGATCCCCGGCAGGCCCTGAAGCCTGGGAAATGATGGGGTTCTGTGGGAGGCGGAGGCAGACAGATGGAAAGATGCCTACAGGAAGGTGGCTCTGTGGGAGTGAGGTGGGGTCAGTTTCACACCTGCTGGAATTCTTGGCTGGCTCCAGTGTGAGCTGTTTGGCCCTTTCCCATCCCTGTTAACTCCCAATCCTGACAGGAGTCAGGAACATAGACTCAGAGGCCCTGTGGGTCAGCAACCTGACCTGGCAGCCATGGGGGCGCCGCAGCCTTGTGTGCTGGGACACCTCTTCCGATCACTTCAGTCCTGGGTTAAATCCCCCAGCATCCTATAAACCAGACATGGCGACCCATGCCTGTCATCCCAGCATTTGGGAGGGGAATGCAAGGCAGCATCCATCTGTGCAGAGGACAGGCCCAGTTTGCCTGTGGAACTTCCTTAGTGTGTGTCGCTCTCAAGGGCCGGTGGTTGGACGTGCGGTTTGCTACCTAGGTCCGCTATGGTTCCTTCTCTGGTAGGCAGGTCACCCAGCCTGTGAGAGGTGAGGTTTGCATGCCCAGGTTGGAAAGACCCTTCAGACCAAGTACCTGAATAGGAATAAACAGAGCGTAAGCAGCAGCAGCGTGTGTGTGTGTGTGTGTGCATGTGTGTGAAGCCAGAAGGTGAAGTGAGAATCGAAGCAAGTGAATTGAAAGTATTGAGAGCAAGTGGTTTCCTGGAGAAGGCCCCGGGCCTGTGCTTGACAGGCAGATAAGGCCAGCAGAGTGGGATCTATCTCAATAGCAGCTTGTGCAATGAGATAAATGCTGCATAGAACAACTAATACAATTCCCGGAGCCCTGGCCAGCAATCAACGAGGAAATAAATCCTCTGAATATCAAAGTGGCCCCATACTGATGGAGGAAAATAGAAGGCTTAACATCCGCGGCTAAAACTCTTTGAAGATCAGGGGAGGTGGGCTGGAGACGTGGCTCAGTGGGTAGGATGCCTGCCAAGCCCCGAGCTCCAACCCCAACACCACTTGGCGGTGCATGTCTGTAATCCCAGCGTTTGGGAGGGGAAGGCAAGAGGATCAGAAGTACAAGGTCATCCTCCACAACTTAGTAAGTTTGAGTCTAACCTGGGCTACACGAGACTGTCTCAGAAGAAGAGAAGGGAGTTGGGGGAAGGAGACTGAAGAGATGGCACCGTGGTAAAGATCACTCGCTGCTCCACCATGAGGACTAGAGGTCTGACCTTTGCACCCAGGCTGGGCTGCTCACAAATACCAGTAACTCCAGTTCCAGGGAGCTAATGCCTCTGGTCTCTGCAGGTACCTGCACACACATGTGTGCATACACTCACACAGATATGTGCACACAAGGTCTCCTCTGTAGCCCTGGCTAACCTGGAATGCACTGTGGTAGACCAGGCTGGCCTCTGCTTTCTGAGTGTTGGGATCAAAGGCATGTGCCACCACACCACCAAATAAAAGAAATCTTAAAAAAATCAGTAAAGGGGGTGGGGCTAGAAGGATGGCCCAGCCGTGAAGAGCTATATGAAAAGCTCAACATACTATCACTTGCCTATTATGCCAGCCCTGGGGACGCAGAGACAAGAGGATCCCTGGACCTTGCTTCCCAGTTCGTCTAGCCAATCAGGAAGCTGCAGGTTCAGTGAGCAACACTTCCTCAAATTATAAGCTGGAAAGCAATAGAGGAAGACACCAACCGACTATGCCCCCTCAAGAATGTGTCCTTAGGAAGCCAGCGTTAGTTCACTGGCGGGTGCCCAGGTTGCTTGGTTTGGAATGTGTCTTGACGTGATGAACAGACTCTGGTGAGCTGGCTGTGCCTAGGAAGAGGCCTCTGTCACCTGGGGGGTCCTGGGCTCACCTGCTCACAGTGTTGGCAGGAAGACAGAGGTCTCTTTGTCTTCTTCAGTCCCAGGTGCAGTGTCTTACGTACTCAGCACTCTGTAGACCCGCCAGGCCCCTGCAGAGGTGGGCTTCCCTGCTGTGTGCAAGGTGTGCCTTGATAGAGGCGAGCTCTGCTCCACCTCAGCTGATTTCCGCTGTGGCCTAGGCGGCTCATGGGCTCACCTCCGGCTCTCCCCTCCCCTCTAGGCTCACCCCTGGAGCTGGCCTCATTGAGAGGATCCAGGCCATTGCCCAGAATGTGTCTGACATCGCAGTGAAGGTGGACCAGATCCTACGCCACAGCCTGATTCTGCACAGCAAGGGTGCGTCATGGCCAGGACACTGCCCTGTGTCTCCAGAGGCCAGTGCCCTGCTGGATAGGGCGAGCCTCCAGGAAGTCCCATTCCTCTGGTAATGCTTGCCTGGTTCTTGGGGGCCCTACTTGAGGCTCTCATTAGGGGGACCTGGTCGAGCCCACCTTGGCCTGCCTGAGTATGTGGAGGACCAAGTGGGTCCCTGCAGTTCCAAGAGTAAAGGCCACCATTCCTTTGGGTTTGGGGAAAGCTGGAGGCTTCTGCCCAACTGCTGTTGTTGGGAAAAGCAAAGGTTTATTTGGTGGGGATCCAGGGGTGGGGCTGTCCAGGGAACTGCCCTGTAGCTGTTTGAGAGAGCTTGCCATACTGAGCCTGGAGGAGGCCGAGTATGTGGAGAAGGGTAGCTCAGACCCCAGACTTGTGGGATAGGAGACACCTGAGGTGGAGGGGACAGGGGCAGCTGCTATTCTGTCCCACCACAGACCACACCCTGTTCTGTCTGTGTGGCCGCTTTCAGGCCCCAGTCCTCAGTAAGCTGCCCTCTTCTTTTTTTGCAGTATCTGAAGGTCGGAGGGACCAGTGTGAAGCACCCAGCGACCCCAAGTTTCCTGACTGCTCAGGGAAAGTGGAGGTGAGGCCTAGAGCTCCCCCATGAGGCAGGGTGCAGACAGATGGAAGCTCCTCCTCAGGGCTTCTCCCAGTCCAGCTGAGCTCTGGATTTCTGCTGGGCCTTTTATTGACCAGCTCCTTAGCTCAGCACAAACTGGTGGCACCTGGACTCAGAAAAGTTCTTTCTGCACTGAGCCTATACAATCTGACCACCAACCTAAAGCCCTTGGGGGCCAGTCACCCTCAGGGGCTTTGGCACTTTCTTATGGCCACCTAGAGCCGCATTCTGACATCCTTCAGTCACTCTGTCCTTGGTGCTCCTTGCCCGACTCGTGGCTCTTGGACCGAGGGCCCCTCCTCCCTCCTCCAGGGGCCACTTCTGACTGCGTGATGTCCCTGTATGTATATAGAGAACCAACCCATAGCCTTAAGGCCAACGCCCCTCTAGCTCTGAACCTGTAGGGGGTGCTGTGGAGCAACAAACTCCATCCTTAGGGAGCTCTTGGGACCCCTGTGGAAACAACTTCCCTGGCCCTGGTCTCCATGGAGGATGCTTACAGTCTTGGTCTCTAAGGTGACAAAGACAAGGAGGACGTGGGCTGTGGCTGCTGAACCTCCTGGATCTTTGCACTGGTGTTTGGCCCCTTGACGTCCAAGACTTGGGTCTCAGGCCCTCTTCTGCAAGACCTTGGGGAAGGCGACCCACCTCTTTTTCTGGTCCTCAGTGGCAAAGGGCTGATCTCGGACCAGGTGCCCTGATCCAGTTGTAGATTTCTATTCTGCTGCAGCATCTTTAGGTTGGGGCACACCTCACAGCTCCTGCACAGCCCGGAAGATCTTGGGGTACCTTGCGGCTGTGGGAGTCTATGGGGTGATCTGTGGGTGGATTGCTGGCTGCCTGCTCAGGCCTGACCCTCTTAACAGTGGATGCGTGCCCGCTGGACCTCGGACCCCTGCTATGCCTTCTTTGGAGTGGATGGCACCGAGTGCTCCTTCCTCATCTACCTCAGTGAGGTTGAGTGGTTCTGCCCCCCGCTGCCCTGGAGGAACCAGACAGCTTCCCGGAGAGCCCCCAAGGCCCTTCCCAAAGTCCAGGTAGGTCTTGGAAGTGAACGTCCTCTGGGACAGTGGGAGGGAACCTCAGTCCTGCCACCTGCTCCATCCCCATGGAATGGGGCTCCCAGCTCCGTCAGCTGAGAGTCCCCAGGCCACCTTCTATGGAATCCTATCTGGGGAACTTGCCGAAGTCCTGGAGTTGTCCCTTAATGGGTTAGAATAACAGTAATCCGAGCTGTCATGTACTGAGTGCTTCCTGCCTTAAGGCCACTTTATTTGGCCTTCTGTGGATCTGGTTAATGGGAGAAGACTCACAGGCCTGGAGAGTTAACAAGTTCAAGGCATCATTGACTGGTACCATTGACAGGCAGCGCAGTCCCTGGTTACTCAGAGCTGAGCAGCTCCCCAGAAGGACACAGGGAGTGTGGTGGATGGGAGCTGGACTGGGGTGTGAGCGCTGGAAGGAGAGCGCAGATCTCCTGCCCTGATGCTGGAGCAGGCACCCACCTTATGGTCCGTACCAGTCTCCATTCTAGGAGAGCAAGGGACAGGATAGTGAAGGTATGTTTGGGGATTGAGAGAGCTGGCATGTGGCTCCATCCCAGGCAGTGTTCCGGAGCAACCTGTCACACCTCCTGGAGCTGATGGGCAGTGGGAAGGAGTCCCTCATCTTCATGAAGAAGCGAACCAGGCGGTTCACTGCCCAGTGGACCAAGGCTGCCAAGCACCTGGCGCAGAAGCTGGGGGACACCCGGAGGGACCAGAAACAGGTATGTCATCCTCTCAGGGAATGCTTGGATGAAGTGCTCACAGCCCTGGGGTGCCAGGTGGCCATAGGCATGAGGTTCCAAGTAGATACAGAATTCTGAGTGGGAATGAGTGTGTGGCACAGGGTTCAAGGGGATCACAGGTCAACCAGGGTTCTGACTGGGCATGGTGGATATTCTCAGACCGGTGCCATTAGATCCAGATAGAGGACTTGATGGAGACAGGGAGCTGCTGGCCCTTCTCCAGGCTGGGGCAGGATGATCAGTCCCTGGAGGTCCTGCATCCTTAGGACATTTTTATCAGGTCAGGCAGAAAGGTTATAGGAGTCTGGGAATAACAGACTGAGGAGGGCTTGTTGGCCCATCTGTCCATCCGTCTGTCCATCTGCCCACCCACCTATCTATCCATGTAGTAGGGAATTGCATCCTTGTCACCTCCCTCTCTGTTTCCTTCAGAGCTCTTGCCATTTCATAAAACTCTGTCTTGCCTCTTGTACCATTGTCCACTTCTTCCATCTGCAGAGTGAGCTCTGAGGCAATCGCATATCTGCCTCATTGACTACAGCCCCAGTGTTCTGTGTCTAAAAGCGGCCAACTAGGCCTGGCCTGGAGACCCTGTGTGCTGGGGTGTTGTTCCTGGGGGGCGGGGTGGGCAGACCTAAGAGCTGCTGCAGGTGCTGCTGACCTATGTCCTACTCCCCTAGATCCTTGTCCACATCGGCTTCCTGACAGAGGAATCTGGGGACGTGTTCAGCCCACGGGTGCTGAAGGGCGGGCCTCTGGGGGAGATGGTGCAGTGGGCCGACATTCTGGCCGCTCTCTATGTGCTGGGCCACAGTCTGCGGATCACAGTGTCCCTGAAGGAGCTGCAGAGGTGAGTGCCCAAAGAGCCATTCACATCCTGGTGGGGTGGGGGTGGGGAAAGGAGAGCCCAGCCCACCAGCTGATGCTCCATCTGCAGGGCACACAGCCTAGCTGTGGCCTTCTGTCAGATGCTGACCTTCCCTGGCTCCCTCCTCCACCTGCTTGTCTACTTCCTCCTCCCTGCCCCCTGCAGATGCCCGTGTGTATTTAGAATGCATAGAGGAAGTATGCTTGTTTAATGCTGGTCCTCGGGCTCCTGACCTCTGCTGGGATTGACACTTGGGTCTGGTTTGTGCTCAGAGGCTAATGCGTAGTGTCTTGCTTGAGAGAGGAGCTTCACACGCACATGGGATCTCCTCCACCTGCCTTCCTTGTGGGTTGGGCATAGTCTTCAGGGCATCTCTTCTGGAGCTGGGCGCATTGGCGGGTCTATGAGGGTGTTATGATTGAGCGGTAATGCTGACTTTCCCAGTGCTGGGCTGGTCAGGGTCCTTCTAGCACAGTGACACATAGATGCACCCCACCCTGAGCTTGTTGGGGAAGAGGGTCTAAAAGATTGTTTGACTGTGAGAATTTGGGGGTTACAGGGAGTAGGGATATGTGGGATACCAAGGGATTGGAGAGAGAGAGAGAAAATCAGATAGACAGACAGACAGGGATACTGGAGGGTAGGAGCTGATGTGTGTGTCTTTGTTGTTTGTGTGTGTCTTGTTTGATATCTTGTTGGGATCATTTTTTTGCCACTCATATGTTGGATGCATATATATGTATATATACACACACATACATACACATACATGCTTATGCTTTTTCTGGCTTTATTTTTTGTATTTCTGTGTGGCATTGGATACATACATAAGTACCTCTAAAATGTGTACTAACAAAGTTATGATACACAGGAATCAAATGACTCACCGTATTATGCCCATCTACACAGAGAATAATACCAAGGACTTATTCCAACTAGATCTCCCTCCGCCACCCTCTGCCTGTTCCACAGGAAACCTGTAGCTTGAATTCTTGTCTCACATATGAATCAGTGGTGTGAGGAGGTGGGGACTTGACTGTACTGTTGAGAGGGGTGCTAAGATGAGCCAGTGGTTTGGGGGTGTTCATCCCCATAGCCTGAAAGTCATTCTTTATGGCAATGCTCTTATCTCCAGTGGACGCAGTAAACGTGAAAAAGTGTCTCCAGAGTGAGTGACAGGGACAAGGGAGAGGATGACAAGTAGACCATGTGTAGGGTAGAAAGGTGTTGGGGACCAGGGTGGGCCCCATATACGTACGGCAGTGCTAGGAAACACCAGTGTGTGGGCTGCAGCCCACTGAGAAAAATATCCCTTCTGCCTCCAATAGCCAAAGAGCCGCAGGAACTAAGAGGGCCCAGTGGGGAGCTGTCCCGGAGTCCTGGTGCTGAACTTACAGAAAATTCCCAGCCGTGGGGCGTCAGCCCGCAGTCTTTGGTCATCTGTGGGCAGCTCTGTGCGTTCAGTAGCACAGCCGCCTCCATGCTGAGACATGCCTGCTCACCAGCACCTTCTGCCTGCACCACGCCCACTTTGCTCATCCAGGCAGAGCTCGTGGGCTGACAGGATGCCTCGACAGCTTTTGCAGATAATGAGGTGACTTTCTCTGGCTAGGAGGCTTCCGACAGAAAAGTCACAATGGTTCATGGAAATAGGAGGAGGACCAGTGAGTGACCCAGGGCCAGAGTCTCAGGTCAGGTGGCTTCAACAATCTGGTGGAAATTCACACACCCAGGGTTGCAATGGGACAAATACCAAGGGTGCCCAGGGACTCTTATCACAAGATCTGACCTCCAAAGACCCTTGGGAGCAGGGACAGCCTGTCAGGTTCACCCACACTTCACCCTGCTCGGATGGAACCACCCTTACCACACAGGGCACTCAGCCTGAGTCTTCTTTTCTGGGTCACCTGGATCTGTGCCAGACAAGTGAGCTGACCTAACCCTACTCCCTGAGGGATGGAAATGTTTCTTCCACACACCCGGCACAGAACCATCAGTGTTCTGCTGGAGAGGAGCAGAGACCCCGCAGGTCTTCCCGGGAGGCAGGGATTTAGTTCAGTGGCTCTGTTCCAGCCCATGCCAGGGCTCTCTTCCCCTACCCCCCACTCTGAGTCCTTCCCCACCCAGAGCACTGCCACCTCCTCTGTCCACTTCAGGAATGGGTGCTGAGCCTGAGGCTTCTGTCCATTGCCCATCTGTGGCCAGAGCAATGACTGTGGGGTTCCTGGACTTGGGAGGCACTGATAAAAAGTAACATGGCTGAGCGATGCTCACCTGTAGCATTCCTTTGCTACTTACACGTACTTGTCCATGCACATACACACACAGCACCCCCTACATGAATATATATATATATACACACATATATATATTACTCACATGCAGGCATATCATGAATGTATGCATGTAATCCCCACAGACACACACATGAATTTATGCATGTAACACAACTCATACATATGAACTTATGTAACACTTATATACATATACTACATGAACAGGCATATAACACATATGCACACACATGAATCCATACATGTGAGTGTGTGAATGTGTAGCATCCACATTTATGCACATGTGTGAATATGTGTATGTAACATCTACATTTACACACATGAACTTATATAATACCCATATGCATAAACATGACCATTCCTGCACACACAGTTAACATTATTCACATGGATGCACATGTGCTACCACTGCATGAAGACACATGCATATCCGTTTATAAGCAGATGTATATGCTCACACCTACTCACACACACGTGCACATATATAGCCTCTGCTCTCATATATACGTGTATGTTATGTACCTATGCAAACATGCATGCTCACATGTGCACTTGTCTGCTCTTGCATGTGCAACACACACATGTACCCTCCTAACACCTCACCAGAAACTCAGTCTTTTGCCCAGGCTTCACTTCCTGCCAGGCATCTGTGGCTCTCAACTGTAGCAGGGGCCTCAGCCGTCACCCCATCTCAGAATTGCTGCCCAGAAAATTGGTAGGCTTGGCTGTGCCTGAATGCCCTGGCCTTGGTCCCCTGAGGGATGTAAGTGTGAACGAGCATCTTGCTCTGACAGGGTAGTGGGGTGTAAACAGCCCACCCCTCCTGGGATATCCTCAGAAAGATGCTTTCAAAACCTGTTACCAGATATGATTGAAAAACAAAACTGCCTTCCCTGGGGGATTTCCACTACAAGGTTAGCAGCCATGCTGGGCTAGTGCTCAGGGCAGGGGCTCCAGCTTTGGCTGCAGCAGATGCCTGCTTGATTGAGCACATACCAGCACAAGGTCTCTACTCTTGGCATCCCGGTTCCGTGGCTCTTAGCCACACCCGTGAATGTCAAGGTAGAGACATTGCAAAGCTCAGAGCTGTGGCTTTTCCCAGTGGCCTCCCTCAGTGTAGTCTCAGGGCTAGGGGGCTAGGAAACCATGGAATGGGGCTGGCTTTACCAGGCTTGTGCCAAAGGATTGTCCTCGGTGTACTTAGGACAGGGCCAGAGGATGGGTTAGGGCCTGGGGTTAGCCTTGATGGATTTGTAGGGATGTGAGGGTTCCTCATGAGGCCCACTCATGCCTGGAAGCTCTGAGGATTCCCTTGGCTGTAAGGGCTGAGACTTTGGGGTGAGGGGCTGAGACATTAAGGATAAGGCCCGGGACAGGAGATGAGAATGAAGAGGGACCCACTGAGCTGGTTAGTTTTGTCAATTTGATACAACCTATAGTCAGTCACCTAGGAAAAAGGAACCTCAACTGAGGAGTTACCCAGATTGGCTTCCCTCAGGGATGGAGGGTGACCTGAAAGAATAAGATGAAATAAACCCTTTTCTCTCCCAAGTTGCTTTTGGCCATGGTGTAAATCACAGAAAAAGTAACTAGAAACTAGACCCCACTGGAGGTGACCCGGGTAAGGAGGCCTCTGGTATCCTTCCCAAAATACCAAGGAGAGGCCTGCTGGTTCAAAACTTGTGGCCCCACACTTTGTTAGATATACAGATTTTTTTTCTTTTCTATTGTAATTTGAGGAAAGATTGACAGGTGTAAGAACCAGACAGATGCTGAGTGTGGTCCACAGTACTCGCTCCGTCCCTCTGACACCATGGAAACACAGGCCTTTCTCGGTCAAGGACAGTTGAGTGCAGTGTGGGGTGTGCTGGGTTTCTCTAGAATTGTGGCAGCAGAGTCATGATGACTTGGTGGCTTCAACAAGAGGGCCTTCCTCATGGCTCTGTAGACCAGAAATCTGAGCTCTGCTGTTGCAGGCTGAGTCCTTCAGAGCTCTCAAGGAAGGGTTTATTATAGGGCTACTTCTGGAACCAGGTTGCTTGGCTCAGCATTGGCGTGTGTACACGTTACCCCTGTCTTCTTCCACTTGGCCTCTTCCATGTGTGGGTGTCACTATCCAAACTTCCCCCTTTACAAGGACTCAGTCCTAGCTGTATGCGGGGTTTCACCTCTGTAATCCTGGCACTCAGGAGCCTGAAGCAGGGAATCGTCCTGAGTTTGAGGCCAGCCTAGGCCACAGACTATGACCCTGTGATAGTTTTAATTATCAACTGATATAACCTAGACTCTCAATGAGGGGTTGTCCAAATAAGCTTGGCCTGTAGGTATGTCTATGGGAGGTTGCTTTAACTGACGTGAGAAGACCCAGCCCATTGTAGGCGACACCGTTCCCTAGCAAGGAGTCCCGGACTGGGTGAGACTAGAGAGAGAGCAAGCTGAGGACGGAGCACCTGTGCACTCGTTCTTTCTGCTCTTGACTGTGTGGACAGCTGCTTCAGGTTCCTGCCTCGACTTCCCCACAATGATGGACCAGTGCTGGAATTGCAGGCGAATAGACCCTTTCTTCCCTGAGCTGATTTCTGTCAGGGTATTTTTATCAGAGCAACCGACTTGGACAGACCCTGACCCAAAATTTAGAAACATGTCACAGTCGCATGAGGGAAGACCCAGACTGCTGGTCTAAGTTAA